GCTAGGGACTGCTTGTCCACCTGTAGGAAATCTATCCTTTTCCTCTAGCGTCATTTGGTCGTGCACTTCGCTAAGGTATCATGCGTCCCCAAACTCTTGAGCCGCTGCTAAAGCAGCCTCTCTCTCATTGCTGGTTAGGGTCTGACTAAGCATAACATGATATCTTTCCAATCTAATTCAAAGGACGCACCCAGGCCCTGCAGAACATCTATGAACATCTATGTATTTGTCCGGGTCATTGGAAAATTTTCCTAAGTCTACCTTGATTTGCTTGAAGCTAGGAAGTGAAAAGGGAGTGTGCACCTTGGTCAGGCCAAATTCTCCTCCTACTGCCTGTAGGGGGCAGAGCTGGGGAATCCTAGTAGTCTGAGGTGCCTTGGCCTTCTCGGCCTTCTCTGACTCCTTTTGGATTATTGGAGCTGAGGAGGACTGGTTAGCATTGGAGGGAGGAGCCACAGGGAGTCCTCAATGTGGGGTAGTCCTGAGGAAGGGTTAGTAGGGTATGGGGTACAGGCCTTACATAGCTGACGATTATTCCTTAGAGAGAAGAAAATTTGCACATGGGGGACCTTAAACCATTTACCTTCACTTTTACAAAGCAGGTCTAATTGTAGAATGGTGTTATAATCTATACTTCCCTTAGGAGGCCAGGTTTTTCCACTCAGCAGAGGGTATCACGGCCACGATGTTCGGCAGAGGAAAATGAGCGGCTTCTTCTTCAAAGATTGTGTGTAAAATTGGTCCCAGTTGTCCAGGAAATATTTTAAAAGAGATTTTGCCTTGGGAAGAGTAGCACCCATCTGAAATCAAACACAGGAATGTCTGCATCCCTGGTTTTTCCTGCAAATGCCAGCACTGGGGCGTCCCCCAGTTATAGCACCTTGTAATTTCCTTGTGCCTAAGATGCATGATTATCTTTCGAGGCCTTCCATGTGCTGGGTTTAATCACACTTATCAGTGCCATGGCACACACACGCACTGTCTACATGTCCCCATTGACCACCAAAAGGACATGTGGACTGCTGGGATTGGTGGTTCGTATTAGCATGTCCCTGAACTAGGCCAGTGAGGTTTGGGTGATGGGTATTAATATTCCCTAGCAAGAGTTCAATTAACACAGACCTAATTATAAAACTGCCTAGGAGGGTCAACATCTAGGGGGGACCTCTGAGCACAGCAATCCTAAAGAAGGCTGGATGGCCATGTGGCCAAGGCTGAAACAATGCCCTCAGGACCCAGGCCGCCTCCCACACCCTACTCTCCATTATAGGAATATGCCCTAGGGGCCTTTAATTAACTGTTTGAGCCTTGGACCCAGTCTGACTATGATCTTCTAGATGGAGAAGTTCTGCCATACGGAGAGCCAATCCTAGGCAAAACAAATCGTACATTATTAGATTCTGGCACCATTCAGTTGGATTGGGAAATTTGCAGTTGACTAAAACACAATATCCTATAACCTCCAGCTCCTGGACTCCCCAGATAGTCCCCCATTTAAGCCCTAGACAAGTCTGGCTCTATTGGGGGTTTGAACCAGCAACCTTGTAGCTATTAGACCAATGCCCTAGCCACTGCACTAGCAGGCTGCTCTCAGCAGCATGTGGGACACGGGTTAAGGAGGTGAAAACTGGTCAGGACCCAAGGTGCCAGAGCATGGAGGGGAATCAGGGGCAAATAGTCTGTCCCAGGGAAGCCCGAGGCGGGACTGTACAGGAGCCAAAAGTCCATGTCCCCAGTACAGGCTTCACTGTCTCATCACATTTCACCGACAAAACCAAAGTTCAAAGATAGATTTGTTAAGAATTTCAAGATAAATACTGCAGAGTACAGGAGCCTTCAAGCACTACGTCTTTTTCTCTTGGCTCTCAACACCTATTGACTCTGCCCCCAAACCAAGGTTCTGATGCTAGAAAGAATTCATGAACAAGAATCATGTTGGCATCCAAACTCTCTTGCTTTTTTCTGTCTCTGTGTCTCTATGGTTAGAATAGAGAATAAAAAGGTCAAAGGATCCATGGACTTGTGCTAAAACTAGTCTTCCCAAGTTCACTGTGACATTTTTCTGTTTCATCGCTGTATCCTAGTACTATCTATCTATCTATCTATCTATCTATCTTTCTATCTCTATCTCTATCTGTCTGTCTGTCTATCTCCCTCTATCTTTCTATCTATCTGTCTTTCTGTCTGTCTCTCTTTATCTATCTATCTATCTCTATCTCTCTATCTTTCTATCTTTCTCTCTCTATATATATATATATATCTGTCTGTCTATCTGTCTGTCTATCTATCTCTCTCTCTTTCTGTCTCTCTCTCTCTATCTCTATCTTTCTATCTCTCTATCTATCTATCTGTCTATCTGTCTGTGTGTCTGTCTGTCTGTCTGTCTATCTGTCTGCCTGCCTGTCTGTCTGTCTATCTATCTCTCTATCTATCTATGCATCCATCTATCTACTTGCTTTGGCAAAGTCAACACCTATTGACTCTGCCCCCAAACCAAGGTTCTGATGCTAGAAAGAATTCATGAACAAGAATCATGTTGGCATCCAAACTCTCTTGCTTTTTTCTGTCTCTGTGTCTCTATGGTTAGAATAGAGAATAAAAAGGTCAAAGGATCCATGGACTTGTGCTAAAACTAGTCTTCCCAAGTTCACTGTGACATTTTTCTGTTTCATCACTGTATCCTAGTACTATCTATCTATCTATCTATCTATCTATCTATCTATCTATCTATCTATCATCTTTCTTTCTTTCTTTCTCTCTCTCTCTCTTTCTATCGCTATCTCTCTATCTTTCTATCTATCTGTCTATCTCTATCTTTCTTTCTGTCTGTCTATCTATCTCTGTCTTTCTGTCTGTCTGTCTCTATCTATCTATCTCTATCTTTCTATCTTTCTCTCTCTCTATATATATATATATATATATATCTGTCTATCTATCTATCTATCTGTCTGTGTGTCTGTCTATCTCTCTGTCTATCTGTTTCTATCTCTATCTTTCTATCTCTCTCTCTCTCTCTGTCTATCTATCTATCTATCTATCTATCTATCTATCTATCTATCTATCTATCTATGTGTCTGCCTGTCTGTCTGTCTGCCTGCCTGCCTGTCTGTCTGTCTGTCTATTTGTCCGTCTGCCTGCCTGCCTGCCTGTCTGTCTGTCTGTCTATCTATCTCTCTATCTATCTATGCATCCATGCATCCATCTATCTACTTGCTTTGGCAAAGTCACTGAAGGTAATTGCCAAATTCGATGGGATTGTTTTGATCCTCTTCCTATAGTACTCTGTACCACATTTAATTCCGAGGATCATTTTCTTTTTGAAACTGTTTCGTTTCTTCACTCTCTAATACCACTATGTTCTATTTCTATAATAGTATTTTTCCCAGTCTTTTTCGTTTTCTTTCTTTCTTTATTTTTTTGAGATGGATTCTCACTCTGTCGCTGAGGCTGGAGTGCAGTGGTGCTATCTCTGCTCTCTGCAACCTCTGCCTTTGGGGCTCAAGCAATTCTCCTGCCTCAGCCTCCTGAGTAGCTGGGACTATAGGCACATGTCACCATGCCCGGCTATTTTTTTTTTTTTTTTCGGTTATCCAGGATGGTCTCAATCTCCTGACCTTGGGATCCTCCTGCCTCAGCCTCCCAAAGTGCTGGGATCACAGGCGTAGGGCCACTACGCCTGGCCTTCCCAGTCTTTTTCTTTGGCTTTTTGTCATCTGTCCTCACCTTAAATGTCAGTTCAGTCCAGGGTTTTCTATTCTCCTTATTCTGAACTCTACACTTCAGTCTGTGCATTAACTCAAGAAAGCCAAGGAAACTGATAAAGACCCACCAGAATGTTGCTAACATTGTCTTCCCATGAAAATCAAGGCTGTTACTTTAATGTCAAGTGATACTGATTTCCCTCTCTACAAGGTTACTGTATGAATACCAAAGGCTTTCTTTTATTATCTATACATATCTTTTTTTGCCTTCAAATTTTCCTTCTAGATATGCTGGTAACTCACTTAGTGACTCGATTCTTCTTTCCTGTGCCTCTAACTAGTAAGCATAACTGAAGGCAAACTGTATCAGCCTGGAGCCAGGGGTCTTTTTAATCAACCTTGGACTGTGTTGAACCCTGGGCATAATTTACCTATGAAGAGTTATAGTAGTGTCATACTGTAGTTATAGTAGTTTCAGCAGCTTTCTAACATATCAGATGGAACACATGAAATACAATATTCATTATATGGTCTTGGAAGCTTACTGCAGACTCATGTGCTGATTCCGCAAAACATTTTCATTTTGTTTTGTGCATAATAATGTACTAGACACTGCAATAATCAGCAGATGGGCGGACATAGTCATGAGGTACTGACTTTTAGAGATTATATATGCTAAAAATATGCAGGTAACTTTACAGTGGAAAAAACTTTCTAGAAAACATACAACTAAACATGCAAATGAGTATTATTCCTTTTTTAAAATTTTATAATTAAAAATAGAGACTATGTGTCCCAGGCTGATCTCAAACTCCTGGGCTTCATCAGTCCTTCCGCCTCGGCCTCCCAAAGTGCTGTGATCACAGGTGTGAGCCACCAGGCCCAGCCTTTATTCCTTTCGGGTGAGGGAAGGATTTGTCATGCTAAAAGACAAATTTCTGTTTGACATAAATGGTAATGTGTAAAGACTGTAGGGCTTTTTTATGTAGAATGACAATATCAACATTTTATGGAAGATGAATAGAGGTTTTGATGATGTGAACCTGCAGTAGTAAGGAAGCATGCAGATTTAAGCCGTTCGGGCTTCGGTGACGACGGACGGGAATCAGGAACGGTACTGATAAATAAACAGACATATGCGGTCTTTTGTTTTCACATATAGCCTTTAATTTTATATATCTGTAATGAAATATAAAGAGAACATGCAAAGGTTTAGAAACATGTATTCTGAAAATAGAATATTTAAATGAATGTTTAACAGGCTGTTTACTAAACTATGTTTTCTCTGTTTCCCAACAGACATTTCTTTAACAACTTAACCCAGGTAAAACATTTTATAAATTTTGTGTAGCCTTCATATATCACTACTATATTGTTTCTCTCTTATCTTCCATATTTACCAGATAAAAAAATTTTCAAACTAATTTTGCAATGATATTTGCTTAGAGTAGTGGTCCTCAAGGTGTATATCTTTCTATAAGACCCATTCAGGAGGTTCATGAGGTTCACCCTTTTCCAACCACCTACCTGTGTAAGGATGGATTTTTTTCCCCCTCTTACCTCCACAAAGACAATTTTCACCAACTACTTGGGTGAAGAAGCACCTGTCCTTTATTAATACAAATATTAAAGATGGTTTTAAAAATATTAATCATTTATTCTTACTAATATTTTTCTTTTGAAAAATAGCTATTTTTCATAAAATATGTTCATTAACATATAATAGATTTACCATAGTTTTGAAAATAAATAATCTTTAGATGTTATCAGTTTGAATTTGTTATATGGTAAATACTGGTGGATCTAAACCACATAAAACAAAAGCCCTGTAGGATTCCTAATAATTTTTAAAAGTATGAAGGGGGCCCTAAGATCAAAAAGTTTTAAAATTCTAGAATAGAGGATGATTAGAATTATGATGGAAAGATACATTCAAAATGTTGAAAACTGAAATAAGGTTATTATATTTGGAAATTGCAGCTCTATATAGATAATATAAGTCTCTAAAAGCAACAATTTACTGGGGAAAAAAGACGTAGTAGAAAAAGATAAACTGTGTGTAATGGATCAAGATGATTGAGTGAGCTCATGTGCCCGTAACTACTTCTCCTCCAAATCCCTTTGATATTATTGAATTATCTTTTGAGGCTGCAATTATAATAATGCTCAAGAGCAAGAAGTAATATTATGAGTAATTAAGGAATTTTAAGATACATAGAAAATATAGGAGAACTTACAGAAGTAGAATATACATTATGGACTCAAATAATGCATTAAAAACTCCTTCTCACTTAAAACACATAGAAATGCCTATAGAAAATATATGTGTATATACTGTTAGTACACACACTCACAGATCTTTACATTAATACAAGTGCATGTGTGCATATGGAATTTAAAAGACAGAAAAGGAATTTCCTGATGGTCAGAAATAATTAAGGCACTCAAAGCCAGAGTTACAAGATTCAATTAGAACAGAATATGAGCCCTAGTGGCAAACGAGTGGTATTTTCATGATTTCATGGGAATAGGGAATGAAAGTTTCGGCCTATAGGAGTAAAGGGAGCTGAAACTAATCTCCCTGTATGAAGTTAGGATTTAGAAAATGTCTTGGCCAGGCGTGGCAGCTCATACCTGTAATCTCAGCACTTTGGGAGGCCAAGGTGGGTGGATCACAAGGTCAGGAGATCAAGACCATGCTGGCCAACATGGTGAAGCCCCGTCTCTGATAAAAATACAAAAATTAGTTGGGCATGGTGGCTTGCACCTGTAAACCCAGCTACTCTGGAGACTGAGACCGGAGAATCACTTGAACTAGGAAGTTGGAGGTTGCAGTGAGCCAAGATCATGCCACTGTACTCCAGCCTGGCGACAGAGCAAGACTACGTCTCAAAAGAAAAAAAAGTCTTTAAAATTTATGACTGTCTGTAAAATGGGGACTGGTAAATCTCTACTCACTGGCTTAGGATAATTGCAAAGAAATGATACACCTATTTTGGGGGCTGTAAACAGATAAAGGATTACCCAGATTTCAGGTAAACATCCTAATTTCACAGCCCAAGAGGTTGAAGACCCTACAGCCAAGAAGTAAATACAAATATAACTTTGCAAGCAGTCATTTAGATCCCAGGCAGAAGTGATTGCAAAATCCATAATAAAGAGTTTACAGGATTCTTATAGAAAATAAACTCTATAAATAACTTCACAACAAAAGGTGTGACCACAAAGAAACAAATTGCCTGGAATAGAAGCACAAAAATGGAGAAAGTTCATACTACTCAAAATAAAATAGAAGATTCATTTAAAGTATTACTTAGTTCGTATTTAAAACAGTCAAATGATAAAAGAAGGAACAGAAACAAAAACAAGGTATGTTCATAGGCTTGGGAGCAGTGGCTCACACCTATAATTCCAACACTTACAAAAGCCAAGGTGGGCAATCATTTGAGGTCAGGAGTTCAAGACCAGCCTGGCCAACATGGTGAAACCCTGTCTCTACTAGAAATACAAAAATTAGCTGGTGTGTGGCACACACCTGTAATTCCAGCTACTCAGGAGTCCGAGGCAGGAGGATCATTTGAGCCTGGGAGGCAGAGGTTGCAGTGAGCCAAGATTGCACCACTGCCCTCCGGACTGTGTGACACAGTGAGACCCTGTCTCAAAAAACAAAACATAAAGAAAGCAAACAAACAAAAAGAGAAACTGCAATGAGATATTATCCCACCCCAGTTAAAATCAGAAGACAGGCAATAACAAATGCTGATGAGAATGTGTAGAAAAGGGAACCGTGCACACTGTTGGTGGGAGTGTAAATTAGTACAACCACTGTGGAGAACAGTTTGGAGGTTCCTCAAAAAACTAAAAATAGGCTGGGCACGGTGGCTCATGCCTGTAATGCCAGCACTTTGGGAGGCTGGGGTGGGTGAATCACGAGGTCAAGAGATTGAGACTATCCTGGCCAACATAGCGAAACCCTGTCTCTACTAAAAAAATACAAAAATTATATGGGCGGGGTGGTACACACCTGTAGTCCCAGCTACTTTGGAGGCTGAGGCAGGAGAATCGCTTGAACCAGCGAGCCGGAGGTTGCAGTGAGCCGAGATTGTGCCACTGCACTCCAGCCTGGTGACAAAGTGAGACTCTGTCTCAAAAAAATATATAGGTGATGGGGAGGAAGGCAGCAAATCACACTGCCATGTGTGTACCTATGCAACAATCTTGCATGTTCTTCACATGTACCCCAAAACCTAAAATGTAATAAAACAAATTTTTTTAAAGTAAAAAAAAAAAAACCTAACTAAAAATAAAGCTACCATATGATCCAGAAATGCCACTGCTGTATATATACCCACAAGAAATGAAATCAGTATATCTAAGAGATATCTGTTTATTACATATTTATTACAGCACCATGCATAATAGCCAGGATGCAATCTAAATTTTTATCAGCAAGTGAATGGATAAAGAAAATATGGTACATATACACAATGGAGTACTATCCAGCCTTGAAAAAGAATGAGATCCTACCATTTGCAACAACATGGATGGAGCTGCAAATCATGGTGTTAAGTGACACAAGCCGGGCACAGGAAGCCAAACACTGCACGTTCCCACTCATTTGTGGGATCTAACAATCAAATCAAATGATGGACATAGAGAGGAGAAGGGTGGTTACCAGATGCTGGGAAGGGTAGTGGGGGGTGGGAGAAGGAGGGATAGTTAATGAGTATAAAAAAAATAGTTAGAATGACTGAGGTCTCCTATTTGATAGCACAACAGGGTGACTCTAGTCAATAATAATTTAATTGTGCATTTTAAAATAGGTGAAACAGTAACACAAAGGATAAATTCTTCAGGAGAAGGATACCCCATTCTCCATGGTGTGATCATGTCACATTACATGCCTATATCGAAGCATTTCATGTACCTACCCTCTATATAGATATAACTACTGTGTGCCCATGGAAATAAAAAATAAGAAAAACATTTTAAGTCAAATAGAACAAGACTTATAATGAAGAAAAAAATAATTGTATTTTAAAATATTAGCCATAAGCAATTAGAAAATAACATTTTAAAATATCACTTATAGTAGCATCAAGTACATTACATACTTTGAGAAATTTTATTTATTTTATTTTATTTCATTTCATTCTTTGAGACTGAGCCTCACTCTGTCACCCAGGCTGGAGTGCAGTGGTGCTATATCGGCTCACTGCAACCTCTGCCTCCCGAGTTCAGGTGATTCTCCTGCCTCAGCCTCCTGCGTAGCTAGAATTACAGGTGCATGGCACCACACCCAGCTAATTTTTTGTATTTTTAGCAAAGATGTGGTTTCACCATGTTGGCCAGGTTGGTCTTGAACTGCTGACCTCAGGTGACCCGCTCACCTTGGCCTCCATGCCTGAAGTGCTGAGATTCAGGCATGAGCCACTGTGCCCAGCCACTTTGAGAAATTTTAATAATGTTGTGTCTGACCTGTAAATTGAAAATTATAAAACATTACTGAGAAAAATCAAAGACCAAAACAAATGTTCACAGATCAAGACTCAATGTTGTTAAAATGTCAGTTTTCCCCCAAACTAACTTATAGTCACTGCAGTCCCAAACAGAACCCCAAAAGATTTTTTATAGAAAATGACAACCCAGTTCAAAAATTTATATAGAAAAGTAGAAGGTTTAAACTATGTAAAAAGTCTTTAAGGAGATGGAAGTTGTAGTGAGTTGACATTGTGCCAGTGCATTCCTGCCTGGGCAACAGAGCCAGACCCTGTCTCAAAAAAAAAAAACGATTGAAAAGGCTGATACCAAATATCATCAAGGAGATGAAGCAATTAAATTTTATAAGTTGATGCTGAGTATGTAAAATGTAACTACCACATTGGATCACTGCCAGTTCCTTCTAAAAACAAACCATATGACCTACCAACTCCATTCCTAGGTATTTACTGAAAAGAAATAAAAACATGTCCACAAAAAGACATAAGTGAATTTCATAGCAGCTTTATTTGCAAGTCAAAACCTTGTTAACAATCCAAATCTCTATTAAGAGGTGAACTGTCGTATGTTAAGAGAATGAAATACTAGTTAGCAATAAAAAGGAATGTACTGCTGATATGTACAATATGCACAAATCTAAAAAAAAAAGGCTTAAAAAAGAAGACAGACATTAAAACCCTATATATATGCTTTGTTTTGTTTGTTTTGTTTTGTTTTTGAGACAGGGCCCAGGCTGGAGCTGAGTGGCATGGTACAATCTCGGCTCACTGCACCCTCTGTATCACGGGCTCAGGTGACCCTCTCACCTCAGCCAATGAAGTAGCTGAGACTATAGGCAGGCACCAGCGTGCCCAGCTACTTTTTCCATTTTTAGTAGAGACAAGGTTTCTCCATGTTGCCCAGGCTGGTCTCAAACTCCTGGGCTCAAGTGATTGCCCGCCTTGGCCTTCCAAAGTGCTGGGATTACAGGCGTGAACCACCATGCCTGGCCAAAAAGCCTATATTCTTTATGACTGCATTGCATTAAGGTCATGTAAAAATATATACAGATATAGAAATGGATTGAAATTTGAACATTTTATATCAAAGGCTATATATTTCAGCCACCCTTAGACACAAAACTATAGTTCTAAGGAATTTTAAAGTAAAAAAAATAGAATAAAATAAACTGACTGGATGTGGTGGCTCATGCCTGTAATCCCAGCACCTTGGGAGGCCAAGGCAGGAGGATTGCTTGTACCCAGGAGGTCAAGGCTGCAGTGAACTATGATCATGTCACTGTATTCCAGCCTGGGTGACAGTCAGACCCTGTCTCAAAAATGGCAATAATAAGTAAACTAAATTTTAAAACACTAGTTCTTAAGGAATTATGAAAGGAACAATGAAAATAAACCAAAATGAACAGATGATTAAATATAAAAGTTAAAGTTAATAAAATAATACAAAGGTTAAGTATATGCAAAAACTGTCTGTGAACGGACAAGTAAAATAAACCTCTCAGAAGACTAATTAGAGAAAAATACACAAGATTAAGAATGAGGAAGGAGATATAATCACAGACATGGAAAAGATATTACATGCAACTCTTCAGCAATGATTTTTTAAATACAGGTGGAAGATTTCCCTAGCAGTGTGTATTAACAGACTTGGCCAAAGAAGTAGAGCACTTGACAAGGCCAAACTCCACAAAGGAGATTGGAAAGGTGATTTCACTATTAATATTTTAAAAGGCACCAGGACCCAATGGTTTTATATAAGATCTTGCTAACCTTTAAAGATCAAATGGTGCTGATGATATTTCAACATTCAACATGTCTCTGAATATCTCATCTCTGTTAGCTCTAGCCTAGGTGCTGGGCACACAGTAATGAACAAGATAAAGTCCCTATCATTATTATTTAAGTTATTATGGCTCATTGCAAACATTATAGAACGTTCCACATTCAATGTATAAATCCAGCATAACTTTAAAACCAAAAACCTGGCATGGTTCCAAAAAATGTTAACATCTCTTACATTTGAAATACATGCAAAAATTCTGAGTAAAGTAGTAAAAAGAAGTATCCAACATTGTCAAATAAAAAATGGTGTTGGGGCAGGCGCAGTGCCTCATGCCTGTAATCCTAGCACTTTGGAAGGCGGAGGTGTGCGGATTACGAGGTCAAGAGATTGAGACCAGCCTGGCCAACGTGGAGAAACCCCATCCCTACTAAAAATACAAAAAATAGGTGGGCGTGGTGGCCGGTGCCATTAATCCCAGCTACTTGGGAAGCTGAAGCAGGAGAATTGCTTGAACACAAGGGGTGGAGGTTGCAGTGAGCCGAGATTGCGCCATGGCACTCCAGCCTGGACGACAGAGGAAAACTTCATCTCAAATAAAAATAAATAAATAAAAATTAAAAAAAAAAAAAAGCGATACCACTTTTCACCCATCAGACTGGCAATAATCAAATGTATGCAAAACATGATGTCGGGAAGGAACATGAGGAAAGATGAACCCTCATATACTGCTACTGAGAGGGCATATTAGGGCAACTGCTGCAGAAAGCAGTCTACCAGAGTCTGTGAAAATTACAATGCACCTACCCCATGACCCAACAATTACACTTTTAGGAATGTGCCCTACCAATATGCTCAAAGTTGTACAAAGTTGCTCATTGTAGCATTGATTGATTATAATGGCAAGAGATTAGAATCAAATGTTTAGTAGGTTACTGGTTAAATAGTTTTCCTCCATAATTTGGAATAATATCCAACTGAAAAATCAATGAAAATATGTAATGATCTCTAAAATAACTTTAGATGAAGAACAGAAGATTTGGAAAAAATATGTTTAGCATACTGGCATTTGTGTAGAAGGGATGAAAATAATATATCTTGGTTATGCACAAACATTTTATAGGAATCTAAACAAGAACTTACTAGTAATAGTCACCTCTGGGGTGCAGATGGATTTATGGGAATTGAGTGACGGTGTACAGGGTGCAAGAGACAGCTTTTGCTATATTTTTAATATAATGTTTACCTATATGAATACATACTCAAGAAAAAATAAGAAAGAAAACACTTCTCTATCTATTGAAGTAGGCTTGCATCAAGTGACGACTATTAACTTACGAGTAACATGTATAGGGTGATTTCATTTTTATAAAAAGCATGTGAGTGGGGGTTAGGTTGCTGAGTCTATGCATGGGAATAAAGATGGGTCAGGTATGGTGGCTCATGCCTATAATGCCAGCACTTTGGAAGGCTGAGGCAGGCAGATCACCTGAGGTCAGGAGTTCAAAACCAGGCTGACCAACCTGGTGAAACCTTGTCTCTACTAAAAATACAAAAATCAGCCAGGTGTGGTGATAGGCGCCTGTAATCCCAGCTACTCAAGAGACTGAGGCAGGAGAATCACTTGAATTCGGGAGGTGGAGGTTGCAGTGAATTGAGATTGCACCACTGCACTCCAGCCTGGGCGACAAAAGCAAAACTCCATCTCAAAAAAAAGACAAGCATTCATAAGACATGTAAACATTACCTACTTAAGGGGTGTACAGGGATTGTGTTAATTCTTTCTTCACATGTCCTTTGGTGGACACCCTTCACTTATGTAAAGCACTGTTGCTTTTTATTTTTAAAAGTGGGATAATAAAAAAATTTAAAATAAATAAAAACATGTTTATGTTTTGCCACAACTAAAAATGAAATTTGTACAAAATGTAAAGAAATGAAAACAAATTTTATTTTCTAGGCTATCATTGTGTGGGCATATGATCCAGAAAATGCAGATCCTGATGAGTTGCTCGGGCGTGCAGAGAAACCTTCAATAGTAGGTAGAAACGTTAGCGTCGTCGTAGATAAAAACTGTTGGTGGGAGTGCAAATTAATTCAACCATTGTGGAAGACAGTGTGGCAATTCCTCAAGAATCTAGAACTCAGAAATACCATTTGACCCAGAAATCCCATTACTGGGTATAAACCCAAAGGATTATATGCTGCCTTTCTTTTGTAAGAATAATTTATAATCAATGGACAAGATTTTAAGCTGCCTAGATCTAACTAAATACATTTGCATGATCCCTTTTAGTTTAGCCATTATAGTGGTTTGGAACTTATGCTTGATCTCTACAGTCATAAACCTTTCTTTAGAACTTTGAACATTCTTCATATTTTCTTTATTTATTTTTAAATTTTACTGTAAGTTCTTGGATACATGGACAGAACGTGCAGGTTTGTCACATAGGTATACAGGTGCCATGGTGGTTTGCTGTACCTATCAACCCATCATCTAGGTTTTAAGCCCCGTATGCAAGTCTGAATGTCCTCCCTCCCCTTTTTCCCACCCCCTGACAGGCCCCAGTGTGTGATGTTCCCCTCCCTGTGTCCATGTGTTCTCATTGTTCAACTCCCACTCATGAGTGAGAATATGTGGTGTTTGGTTTTCTGTTCCTGTGTTAGTTTGCTGAGAATGATGGTTCCCAGCTTCATCCATGTCCCTGCAAAGGACATGAACTCATTCTTTTTTATGGCCACATGGTATTCCATGGTATATATATATGTGCCACATTTTCTTTACCCAGTCTATCATTGATGGGCATTTGGGTTGGTTCCAAGTCTTTACTTTTGTAAACAGTGCTGTAATAAACATACTTGTGCATGTGTTTTTATAATAGAATGATTTATAATCCTTTGGGTATAACTACAGTTTGATCAATCATCCACAATTATGAAATGAAGCAAACTGATGACAACCTTTATCTTTATAAATGCTTTGTTTTACAATGTGTTTTTCTGATATAGCTAGACCAGATTTGCGGGGATGAATATTTGTATGTGGGTATACATTCTTTCTGCTTTCACTTTCAATTTCCTGTATCCTTACAGTTTTTCTTAAAACACCAACTCAGACCAGACTTACATTTTTAACTTGTGTCTTATAAACACTATAAAGTTGAGGTTTTTTTTTATCTTGACTGGAATTTAATTAGAGCATTACGTTCATTTTCATCTAATATAGGCACAATATATTCTTAGATTTGCTTTCTATTTGTTCTGCCTGTTGTATATTCCTCTCTTCAGTTGCCAGTTAGCAGTTTCTCTGTCTTGGTGTTTTAAAGATACTGTTTCACCGGCTCCTTACCTCCACTGCTGCTGTTAGAAAACCATGTTTCTGCCTGTTACTCCTTTGAAAGCATCTTAGTTTGGGTTCACCAGAAATGTACTTGTAGTTTGTTTTTGGAGGTGATACCAGGAAATAAGAGTGGAGGATGAGGAAAAGTGGTTAGGAAACAAGAGATTCAACTTTTCCCACTAGAGCCCAATCTCGCTGAGCCCCTCCAAGAAGCCATGTGAAATGCGTCTTAAAATTGTCCAACAGAATAACAGAAAATGCCTCAGAGTTAGCCTCACAAAGGAAAAGAAAGGTTCCCAGCCCCCATTAGTCAGAGGTTCCCCCCCGCTTGTTAACTGCTTGTACTTTTCAGTTGTGCATATGTAACTGCAGAATAGGTTTCCATGGGCAGCCAAGATGCAGGGATAGACAGGCCTTGACAGAGAAGGACAAAGCTTGCGATGCTGGAGTTGATGTGAGCCCCTATTAGCTTACAAACGTGTGAAGCATGTTGCCAGGATTGGCTAGAATAAAAAGTAGGGTACTGCAGGTTATGAGATGTTGAATATGTAAATAATCCATCTTTTCTCCTCTGGCTGCTTTTGAGATTTTTCTTTGTCTTTTGTTCTGCAGTTTTACGATGATGTATTTAAATGTGAACTTTAAAACGTATTTATTCTACTTGGAATTATTTGAATTTATGAATCTGTGGGTTGGGGTTTCCACAATCTTCTGAAAATTATTAGCAGTGTCTTTTCAAATATTGTCTGTGCCTCGTCATTTTTCTCCCTTTCTTCTGGGATTCCAAATAAACATGTTCTCATTCTATCTCCTGGAATTCCATTTCAACATATATTAGACCATCTGATTCATCGCCATCACGTTTACCCTCTTCTCAATATATTCTCTCTTTTTATCTCTCTCTGCCATGTTTGGCTCAGATATTTCTCCTTTAGGTCACTAAAATAATTTCTTTTTAACATTTTTTGTTTCTTTTGAGATGAGGTCTCACTCTGTCACTGAAGCTGCAGTGCAGTGGTGCAATCATGGCTTAGTCTCCTGGATTCAAGCAGCCTCAATATCCTGGGTTCAGGTGATCCTCCCACCTCATCCTCCCAAGTAGCTGGGGCTATAGACACACACCACCACACTTGACTAATTTTTTTTTTTTTGTAGAGACGAGGTCTTGCCACGTTTCACAGGCAAGTCTCAAACCTCTGGGCTCAAGTGATCCACCAACCTCAGCCTCCTAAAGTGCTGGGATTACAGGTGGGAGCCATTGAACCTGGGAAATTATTTCTAACATGGTATTAAACCCACTCACTGAGTTCTACATATCAGTTATTTTCAGACATTTTATTTGGTTATGTCACAAATTTTGTGTTTAACTTTTTAGTTTTCTGTGACCTGGAGATATTTCATGCTTTTTTTTTCTTTTTTCTTAAATTTTATTTTCGATTCTGTATATAAGCATGCTCACTTTTTATTTAACACAGTAACCATAGTAGAATGTAAAACCAATGTGGAACAGTTAAATATTCCTCTATTCACTATGTTTAACAAATAAAAGAGCACAAAAATATCCAGCTATTTATCTACACTTGAAATACTGATGGCAATACCATGTTCCTTTTATTTTATATTTCTAGATTTTGAAACACTTTTTAAATATAGGGTTTATATGTCCTCACCTTGCATTCACTCACTTTTTAAAAAACCTTTATCTTTTAGAACAGTTTCAGTTTTACAGAATTACTGCAAAGATAGTACAGGGAGTTCCTAGTCATCCCACACCTAGTTTTCCCTGTTAGAAATATCTTACTCTTGTGTATTTGTCATGGTTACTGAACCGATACTGATACATTATTATTAACAGAATCTCATATTTTCTTTACATTTCCTCAGCTAATGTTCATTTTGTATTCCAGAATCCCACCAGGAATAGCACATGATATTTAGTTGTCTTGTCTCTTTATGTTCTTAATTGTGATCATTTCTAGACTTTCACAGCTTCTGATGCCCTTGAAAATGTTGAGGATGTCAGTCCACTGGGATTCACCTGAGATTTTTCTCATAATTAGCCTGGAGTTAGGTGTTTCAGGCAGGAAGATCACAGAAGTAAAGTGACATTCTCATCGTATGTAATCATCAAGGGCGCATACAATCAAAATGACATGTCACTGCTGATGTTACCCTTCATCACCTGGCTTGAGATCGTGATCCTCTACTGTAAAGTTCCTCTTTATTCTCCTGGTCCATGCTGTTCTCCTTGGAAGTCAGTCACTCTGTACAGTTATCCTTTACCTTCTTAAAGAAAGGAGTGCCTACATAAATATTTTTGGAATTCTTCTATTATGGCAGACTTGTATTATCCCTGATTTATTTATTATTTATTTGGTCATTTATTTATATCAATATGGACTCACGGATATTTATTTTATGTTTTGAGTTAAAATCCAACACTTACTTGTTTATTGGGAGCTATTTTAGTCAGCCCCTGTGTCTCTGACATTCTCTCATCGTTGTGGGGCTTCACTGTTTGGTGGTTTTGTTGTTTTCTTTGTTTTTAACACTGTCTTACTGGCACTACAAAATGCTCCAAACTAATCTTGTATATTTCCTGCATCATAGCACCTGCAACATCTTACGTTCCCAGTCCTAGAATCAGGCATTTCTTCTAGGAGCTCTGGGTCCTTTTGGTTCTTTTGTTAGAGAATGGTATTAGAAATCAAGATCGGGGTACTAGGTGAGCTTATTGCTGTTTAGCTGTTTTCCTCACTCAGCTGTGAAAGCAAGGAAACATATGTGTGTCCTAATCCAAGCATATCTATAAATTTTTCTGTATTTAACTATATGTATTTATATTAAGCTAAATGTGAGTTTACACAGATGGCTTCAACCCTAATCTATGATCATGTTAATTATTCTGGACTCTTTCCTTGCTTATCTATAATCTCCTACCTTAAGAATAAGAAACTAGATTTCTACTATCTGCCATCCATTTGCTTAACATGTATGTTTTCAGCATACATGTTATTATTAGTCAGCTCAGGTGATCATAACAAAATAACCATAGACCAGGTGACTTAAAAAACAGAAATTTATTTCTTCACACTTCTAGAGGCTAAAAGTTTAGGATCAGTGTTTCCTACTGGCATTTAGCATGAAGGGGTGTTGAATTTTATCAAAGGCCTTTTCTGCATCTATTGAGATACTCACGTGGGTTTTGTCACTGGTTCTGTTTATGTGATGCAAAACATTTATTGATTTGCATATGTTGAACCAGCCTTGCATCCAAGTTATAAAGCCAACTTGATTGTGGTGGATAAGCTTTTTGATGTGCTGCTGAATTCAGTTTGCCAGTATTTTTTTATTATTATTATTGCACTTTAGGTTCTGGGGTACATGTGAAGAACATGCAGGATTGTTGCATAGGTACATACATGGCAATGTGGTTTGCTGCCTCCATCCCCATCACCTATATCTGGCATTTCTCCCCATGTTATCCCTCCCAAACTCCTTACTCCACTGCTGTCCCTCCCCTAGTATCCGCCAACAGACCCCAGTGTGTGATGCTCCCTTCCCTGTGTCCATGTGTTCTCACTGTTCAACACTCACCTATGAGTGAGAACATGCAGTGTTTGGTTTTCTGTTCTTCTGTCAGTTTGCTGAGAATAATGTTTCCAGGTTCATCCATGTCCCTACAAAGGACACAAACT